TGTGTGTGTGTGTAAGGGGGGGTATATGTGTATAAATGTGTGTCTCTCTCTCTCTCTCTCTCTCTCTCTCTCTCTCTCTCTCTCTTTCTCTTTCTCTCTCTCCATGTGCATGGGTGTTTGTGTATAAATATGCATAATGTGTGTATGTGTGAGTGTTTGTGGGCGCGCACGCGTGTGTGTAAGTGTGTGTGTGAGTGCGAGAGAGAGAGAGAGAGAGAGAGAGAGAGAGAGAGAGTGTGTGTGTGTGTGTGAGGGTTGGGATTTTAAAAACTTGTTTAAGGTGTGGGGTGAGGGGAGGTGTGGAATTTTTAAAATGAGTCAAAGGTGTGTGTTGGGGGGAATGAGGGGTTAGGTGTCTAAGATGTGTGTATGTGTGTGGGTGGGGATTTCAAAAAAGTGTCTAAGGTGTGTGGTGGAAGGATGTGTGTGTGTGGTTGGGGGGGGGGGGATGCGGGCGGCACTGATCGTGGTGCGAGGCGCAAGACGTGAAGTCTGTGACATCACCTACTGATGTCACTTCCAGTACCGGTGCCGGTACTCTCGGTTCTCGGCACCCAGTACCGAGAAAGTGTCGACACTGGTTTTCGCCGGTACCGCCCAACACTTCTGCTTCTTGCAAGACTGATATTGAGTCAGTGAAAATCATAATACTCTGTGTTTTGTTCGGTTAAGTGTGTCAAAAACTGTGCGGAGAAGGTACAGTGCTGTTTCAATGGCCATTATTCCTGCATCATAGTGGCTGCATTTCTTTCCACAGGCTGCAGAGATCTCACTGGAATTTCCATGTGGGTATTGTATTAGTATTCCATAACCGGCTTTGGTTGTGCCTTTGAATGCTGAGCCGTCTTTATAGACATGAATCCAGTCATCTGAATACCTGTCGAGTGTTTGATGTGATGCAAGCATCAGCATCACTCAGGTCAAAAGATTTTGTGCTATTATCTCTCAGAGATGTTGTAATGATTGGCTTTTTCAAAGAAATATGGGGAGGGATGTTTTGATAGACTCTTTTGGTTTCTTTTCTGTTTTGTGGTAGATGGTGACTCTCCATTAGTTCTGTGATGTGACGCATAATTAATTTTTGTTCAATTCGTTTCTTCATGTAGCTCCAAAACTGCTTTATCTCTGCAGATTACCACGGATTCATCATTTGAAAGGATTTCACATGTGACAGTAGGTGTGGATCTCATGACACCTTTTATGAAACGAAGGGCGTTATTTTGGACCTTGTCAAGGGTGTTGCAGGTTGTTGTACTGCACATATTGAGTAGACTATTGCTGTATTCCAAGAAAGACTTGACATTATCAAGGTAAAGTGCTCTCAGAGTTTGTTTGTCTGACCCCCATGAACTGCTTGTGAGTTTCTTTAAAAGTTGGAGTCTTCTTTTCACCTTGTTCTTTATGCTCTCCACTTGGCTTTCCATTGTTAGACTTTGGTCTTGGCTTAGTTTGAAAAGCTGGTCTTCTGTAATGTTACCCTTTCTGAAGTCTGCTTGGTGTGGGTTCAAACTGCTGGTGTTGTCCAGGTACCAGTAGAGTCGGTTGCTTATCATTCTTTCAACAAACTTACTAATGAGATAGGTCAGTAAAAAGAATACATAAGAAGGATAACAGTACCTTGTCACCCTCAGCCACTTCACAAATAACTTGCTCTGTAGACGGATCCACTGTTTGGAATGTTTTGCCACTTACAGCATCAACAAACTCGTTGTTGATGAAAATCTGAAATTGGAAGGCACAAGCAGCTGGTAAGTGTGTGTGTGTGTGTGTGTGTGTGTGTGTGTGTGTGTGTGTGTGTGTGTGTGTGTGTGTGTGTGTGTGTGTGTGTGTGTGGGTGTGTGTGTAGGTGGGTGTGTGTGTGTGTGTGTGTGTGTGTATGTGTGTGTGTGTGTGTGATTGTGTGTGTGTGTGTGTGTAAGAGAGAGAGAGAGAGAGAGAGAGAGAGAGAGAGAGAGAGAGAGAGAGAGAGAGAGAGAGAGAAAGAGAGAGATATTTTTTTCTATATAAAGAGTAGTAGAAATATTACAATAACCAATTTCTACTTGATATGACAAAACAATGCGACAATAGTAGACAATAGCAATACGACATATGAAACATTGTGACTCAACAATTTCTTATATCAAGGGGAAACAAGCCCAGGGGAAATAAAATAGGAGTATTCCATCTTCTCTGAGAACACTTACTGTTGTTCAGTCTGTGATTCTGTATACAGTTGTCATACTTTTTAAAATGCACATGTATTATTCCTGCTTTTTTACTTTTCTTCTCGAATACTTGTCAGTGATGCATTGGTCTTATTTTTTTCCATAAATAAAGAGTCATTTATTCTTTGATCATTAAGTTTACTACTTCCTTCAAAATTTTCTAACAAGAGAGAATAGACCTTTGAGAGGTAGAAAACAAAATATAAAGGAGGAAAGAAAAATACCAAACAAAGAGAACTGAAAGATAAAAGTAAATTAGATATACATGTACACTTTTCCCTTAGGAAACAAGTAATGAGTTCTACTCAATAGCCAAAGTGACCATCACGACTACTTGATTTAAATTGTGGGTGTAAAAGACTGTACTAATTTTCCATTCAATCATAACAATAAGTCTGAGTAAACATTGATATTTCAACTTACTAACAATAAAAATATTTTGTTGCAACAGTTTAATGTTTAACTAGACAAAAGATCTGAAAAACTAAATTTCTTTAAGGGGAGGAGCGACCCTTGATTTTGCAGATTTTGGGTCAGGCTATGCACATTTTATGTTGGCTGATTTTTGAAGATCAACATGTTTTTTGTCTAAAAATAGCATGGATACAATTGAGAAAAACTTTATTCTACAGGTAATTTGCCTTTAAAAACATGAGGATGGATTAATATAGTGAATTTTCACAATTATTGTTGGTTTTCGCAAAATGTAATTTTTGTGCAGTTTTTTCCCTACTCCTTCCTTAGTTTTCATCTTTTTGACATGAAACTTTCAGGAAACATAGTTGGCTAGGCTGCCATCAATGTAACAGAAAGATATTTGCGAAAAAAGTAACACTTTTCCTTTGGCAAGCGATTACGCAACCTAAATTTAGAAAAAGTTTTTTTATACTTTGGGAAAATTCTCATAATTTTTTTTCTTTTGAATTTATTGAAAAAAACTTGCTGTTACTATGATAGGGCTTGGTTCAGGTATACCCTCACCAAATTGGGTCAAATTTGGTCTGTAAATCGGAAAGCCGTAGGGATTTCAAATTCATTGTTTATTTTCAAGATGGCGGCCATTTCCATAGCAACCGTTCTAGCTATACCAAAATAAAATTGCGTATCAAGAGATTTTACTATGTCTAACTTATATGTGTACTTAGATTTTATCTCGGGCAATAAACATAGAAAATGGTCCTCAAGGATAGCTCCTCCCGTTAAATCTTTATTTCCAAGGAAGGTAAATCCACTATTTTGGGCCCTCTTTTGGAACAAAATCTAAAATTTACACATATGCATCACTAAATTGGTCATTAAATCAAAACAAGAGAACCTATTTCTAAAGGTCTTCATCTAATGAATGCTATCCCTGTAAAAGAGAGCTGTTTTCTGCAATTGCCGAAAAGTAATATAATGACTTCAAAGTCGTTGTAGAGGAATGAACCAAAACCACTACAAGCAACTCTCCGGCACAGCGGTGCTGACCGCGAGCCGCTGCTGGAGATAAGGAGTTAAAATAACATCTTGAAGATTTCCCACAGCTTACTAAACACACAAAGGAAAGAGCTTTTGATAAAAATAATGCAGAATCATTGTGATTTGCTGCAAAAGGCTTTAACAATGATAGTGTACATATATTATTACCTTAAAGAAAAGGCAAAATAATACAAATAAACCTCCGATGACTCAACCATTTTGAGATATCACGTCTCTCTCAGGTCTGACAAAACTTGGATAAATGAGAAGCATTTGAATAAACAAGTAGAGCAAGACACTACAAGATTTTTAACCGAACATGAAAAGCGATTTCTCTTCGAAACAACAACTTACCTTGGCACACTTGATATCTGGTTGTGGGTTTGGATTAGGGGCGGCTGACATGCATCTTAATTGCTTGTAACTAGCAAAACTGCTAGACGAAGCAAGTCTGCTTCTCAGTAGATTCAAAACAGCCGACATTGTCTACACACAGCGGAGCTGACAATCAGACTTCCTTTTCAATGGTACCCTGTTAAACATTCCAAAAAAATTTGAGCTTAAGATGTTGTGATTGTCACAAAGTTTTAACCAATGTACAGTCATAACTTACAACGCCATGTTGGATTTGCCAACAACAAAAATAGCAGTCTGTTGGCTGTTGGCCAACTGCACAAATCAAAACAGTATCAAATTACTTTTGCTTACCTATTATAAAGCACATAACACACAAACACACACATAAAAAGAACTCGTAAATCTAAAAGCATGAAACACCACACACAACTACATTCATAAGTTTGTTCACACAACAAACAACAAACCAGGGAAATATACAAACGCAGGAACACACACTACACTAGCGTTATTTACAAAACACATCTAACAGATATGAGATATTAAACCTGTTTTGCAACTGATCAGATCCCCACTCCTGTGGAAGTTGTGCACAATGGAGGTATCCACTTCAAAATTTGTCACACAGGATTAAATTAGGTTATGCATGCACCAGCAGCTCTAGGCTGAGTTAGTCTCCAGGCTCATATTCATATCCTATTTTCATATTGCGATGAATTGCAGTCTTGCACAATCATTTTTAAAAGCACAACTAGAACATTTACTTATGCATCTGAAGCACAAAAGCAACAATGATAACAGAAAAAAACACACAAATATATAGCAGTAAATTTTGCCAAAGCATTCATCGATAAATACAAACATTTAAAAAAGGACTGCTCAGTATGTGCAGCAAAACTGTTAACCGAAATGTTTTTATGTCAAAACCCTTCCTATATTATACGCTCCAGTGAACATTTAGGTTAAAAATGCTGTTGCTTGGTTCAAAAAGCAAAGGTAGCTTGTTCTGCAAGTCAATGTAACCCTGAAAAGTCTAAAGTATGTGGTCTATACTCTGCCACGGGTGAAAGGAATTGATGATGATGATGAAAAGTTTCAAGAAAAATTGTCAGTGTACTCAGAAGAACCTAACTTTTATAATATAGCAGAAGAAAAATTACAGCTTTCACTAAGACTGTAATAGCATTTTAAAACAATTTACAGAAACAAAAATAAAGGAAAAAATTTGAAAGAGAACAGTTTAATGCTCTACATGAAGAGGAATGTGTGAACAAGAGCTGGTCCCCCCGGGGGGGGGGGGGGGGGGGGGGGGGGTGATATTTAGGACAAAGTACAAGACTTCTACACCAGAGGTTATAAAACTGAATTAACTGCACATTTTTACAAAAATTGCTGACTTTTCATTTCCATACTCAATACTGCTTATTAATCCCTATTGCAGGGATGAGTGGGGGTGTGGAGGGTGTGTGTGGGGGGTGTGTGTGTGTGTGTGTGTGTGTGTGTGTGTGTGTGTGTGTGTGTGTGTGTGTGTGTGTGTGTGTGTGTGTGTGTGTGTGTGTGTGTGTGTGTGTTTGTGTGTGTGTGTGTGTGTATCACTGCGTCACTTTTCGCCTGATTCTGTGACTTTCAGTTAGTGTGACTCAGCAGCCTGCCGGAGCTCCCTTGCCAAGCTCAGGGTCACAGGGTCAATAAGCCCTGAAGCGACTTTGCCTGTGTCGCTTGTGGGTTAACAAATTCGCATTTCGCATTTTCGTCTACGTTTGAAACAATATAACTTCTTCCCCATTCCACACAGCAAACCATTACACTGATGTACTAAAAGCTCAATGTCTTGAGATTTATTCTGTGTTAGAACGGTTAATTTCTGTGCTGTAGTTTTTGTTCTAGACAAGTGTTTGTGGGGGGGGGGGGGATGAGGTTGCCCAAATAGGCATTTGTTGAGTTGATATAACCTGAAAGGTGATTATAGGCTTTGCCAAGGAACCAAATATATAGAGGAAATGTTCACGCTTTTCAAGACGATCGAGGAATCATGAACACATTGCGATCCTCTCATAGCTTCCCGAAGGGGAAAATGGTACAGTCTTAGATGAAGATCTGCCTTGAGAATGCAGACTGTTGAAATGTAGGAAAGTCATTGCTGCAGACATCGGCTACAGACAGACGTCTCATGAGAATTTTAAGTTCTGATTCTCTACAGGTCTTAACTGATGGGACATTTCCATCCTTGACATCAAAGAAGGCCTTAAGGGCACTTAAACATTACTTCCGTACCTTGTGCTAAATTTACTAAATGGGTTGGATGGTGAGGAAATGTTCAATACATAAAGCTCTCTGCTCTTTACTAATCTTAACCATGATCTCAGCAGGCAAAGGAAACTTCAGAAAAACTATGTACAAACTTCTGTTAGACTACTATAGTCAAAATGTGGCGCAATCGTTGGGACTTCTAGTGGTAGGCCTATGCGAACTAGTGCGTTACTAAAGCTACTTAAATGGGGACATAGCTGAAAATGGGTTGTTTCTTACTTTAGGCACTATGTTGAGTAAAACTATTCGGTGGAGTTATCTAAAATGAGTATTAGACAAATTACTTTTGACATCCAAATGTTGAGTACAAATTTGAAATGCAAAACTTCAATGTGGAGAAATATATAACTAAAAAAGTTGTAGGTTTTTTTTTTATCACCCTGTACATGGGTAGAGATAAACTTCTTGTATGGAATAAAAACAATGACAGCTAACACATTCATTCCATGTTTTTGTCTCGGAAATATGCGGGACACTTATGAATGTAAAGAAATCAGAACATTGTCAGTTATTGCAAATGGTCATAGAAACTAAAATAAAAGCGGAAAAAGTCTTGTGCTGATTCAGTGTCACTGGAAAGTTAAAAATTATTCTGAAAACCTAGTTACGAGAAGTAGAAGTCATCCCTATTGTTTAGTCAACTTACAAAACCTAGACTTAGCGTTTAAGCGTTGTTTTTTTTTACTTTCCATCGTTTTGACTGAGATTTTTTTCCAAAAATGGTTTTCCCCTTTTGGTCCTTTAATGGCACTTCAGGTTTCCCATATTTTCCAGCAAGAGTCTTTGTGGTCTGGTAAAGGATTCGCAGGTGCTCTCCTACCACTGCTCCCACTGCTTTCTCTGCCAGTATGTTCATGAATTCCTCCTTGTCTTTTCTTAGTGGTTTCTTGACATCCTTTGCAGCTGTTGTCCTGTACTGCTCCGATGCATCCGCTCTTGATCCTCTTGTTCTACTTGCATTCGCTTCTGCATTCAGTTGTCTTCTAATCCTAATTAAATCCAATGAGCGGGGGCTCTCGTGGCCTAGAGGTTAAGGTGTTGGCCTCTCATTCAAAGGTCCCGGGTTCGAATCCGGGTACAGACCGAAAAATTTTCTTCTCTAAATTTGTCTCCTTTCACCTCCTTTCCTGTTCTCTAGCAATGTTCTGTCATCTGCTTTCGTCTCCTCTTTCTGCCCCCACTCCCACATCTCCTTTGCCCCCCTCCTCTGGGCTCCTGATTCTTTCTACAGCCTTTCTACTGCTACTCCTTGGCTTCTTCTTACTGCTGTCTTTCAGCCACACCCCTGATCTTCTGGTTGGAAAGATCTACACCTAGCCTTCTCGGACAAGGGCGAAAAATCTCGGAGGGCCCATGTGCAAGTTGCGCACGTTAAAGATCCCTTGGTGGTCTAAAATCGATAAGAGTAGGCTTCAGCCGCCACCCGGGCAAAATTCAAAATTTCCTACCAACTGAAAAAGTTTAATCATGTGTCCTGCACGCTCATATGACCTTATGCAGTTGTCAGCGCTGTTGATGACACACGAAAGCCAACATCCGTTCTCCATTTGTCCCCACGTTCCTTGGCACGTTTTTTGTATTTCTTTTTTGGTGATCTTCCTCCCTTTCTCCTCTCCAGTTCGTCATAAGTTGGCTTTTTCCTATGATCAGGGTGTTTTTAGGGGGTATCAGTGAGCATGCTTCTCCAAAAAAAAACATTGTTCATGAAAATTAAACGAACTAATACTGCCCCTATGACGTTTGGGTTCTCCTTCAGAAAGTTCCTCAATCTTTCCCTTAAGTAAAAATCGCTGAATGTGGTCTCTGGAACAATGCGTGCTCATACAGTTCTTGTGACACAGTAAAAACTCTGCATCTTCTGGAAGTCTCTGACTGCGTCCATCATCTCGTTTCCGGCTTGCTTCCAGGCAACCATTTATCGGTCTCGATTTGATCAGGGGTGGGTTCTTTATCACACCAGTATGTGTATAAAAGTCATTAAGTGAGTGCATATGTGTATGTTGCATGAACTAGCCTGATCGCATCACATCCTCGAGGTTACGTAGCGTTTTCCTACATTCTTTGTTTCTGCGGAAGTGTGGTGTGACGAAGCACTGTCTGCCAATGTCTCCTTGTTTTGCTAGCGGAGTCCATATTACAGCAGGCCTTGCTGTGCACCTTTCGGTGCATCCTGTGACATCACAGCGAGAGGAGCTGTTAGCGTTAGGCCTAGTACCCTCGCGCGAATCTTGGTCGACTCATACTCGTTGGCAAAATCCGGATAGTTCATCCGGATAACCGGATAATTCTCAATGAAATATAATCTGAATTCAGACTCTAAACTCTCTTTCCTGACCTTTTTGCTGAAGTGAGTGTACCCATTTGTTTAGCAATGCCAATCGAAAATTTGGTCCCCGTTTGCGGGTGATTTGCAGACCCGGCCGAAGCGTAGGTGACTAACTTTGTCAACCTTGGTCTGCTCCATTTCCGAACCAATCTGAATGAAACTCGGCAACCAATCAGAAAATAGGGCAAACTAATGATATGTGGACGTTGAAGTTCGTACTCATAAATTAACCTAACTTTTGGTGTCGGGAACACTTTCATATCGGGTACACCAAAAACTATAAGGAGTTTGAATTTCAACGCCGAGATGGTAATCTATCTATCCTCTATAGTGTGCTCAAATTTGAACGTTCTGTGTCAAGTAGTTGTTTAGACCCAATCATAAATGAACGACTACCCCCCTATCCAAAGCGGCTTCCCACGGAGACCGGCCATTTTCCCCTCACTCTCGCGGCAAATGTATGTGACCTACAAATCCCCGCATGACTATTCCGGGCCCGTTCATTGGTCACTTGAAATAGGGCAATGGTGGGCACGCGCATCCGGTTGTTTTTCTCTGTTCCCCTGTAACATCGCAATGGGGGTATTCCGAGGCGGGGTTATCTCGTCTCGGGGTGCTCGCGTCTCAACGAGAAAAAATAATATTTTAATTGTATGGCATGCTAGACTGAATTAACTTATCTTTTACGGTTGGCATAGTCTAAAGTCATCATAAAAAGCTTTGCAATTATTTAGTCACGCTGCCAACAAATATTCTTAAAGATCCCATGTTGTGATACGATGCTATAAATAAAATGGACTCATATGAATCCCGACACCCCTTTTTCGCAAAATCGCAATATGTACACCAAAATTTTAATTATAACAAAGTAATTAGGAAATGGGTAGTTCTAGTAAATCTGACTGCAGAAATGATTTCTACACCCAAAAACACATCGGGTAGCCAAGTTTCTCTCTAACACTCCGATTAGTTACCGAGATATCGTCGATTTTCTTACAGAATCTGCTACTGCGTGGTCCACTTTTTAGGAGTATTTTCCTATATTGTGGGTCATCCATATTTTGCCAACCTTTACAACCCCATAACTTTTTTATTTATAAACCGATTTTTAAAATTCAAGAAGCCATTCTTAGAATTGAAAATTCTTTCTTAGGTACCAAATAAAAAAGGGCTAAAGTGAAAAATTAAATTTTCATTGGCATTGCTAATTATTTGTTAATGAAGTGATGGTAACCAATTTATCTAAGAGGTTTTGTCCTTTATGATGAAAAACAAGGTTCTATTACTTTATATAGACTCCGCTCTCGGACTACTACCCTAGTGACCTAGAATCTAGAGTTCTGGTCCGGAAAGTTGAGAAAAAGAATAGAAAATAGAATGGCAACGCTATGCATGCATGAAAAGAGTAATCTAGAATCTCTAGAATTCTAGATATATAGAATCTATAAGACCAACTCAGCAACTGCTAGCGTAGAAGTAGACTTGACTTTGTTGACAGTAGATCAAGAAAGACATGATCTAGAAATCTATATATATTCTAGATGATCTAGAATAGAAGTTTATTTATGGCTAACTGACCCTACGATGCGGTCTCGAACAGCTAATAATAAAGGTAGTGTCAATTGCCATCGAGTGACGCATTGGCAATTGACAAAAATTGACTTTTTATCAATTGCCACTGAGTACATTGGAGTTCTTTTGCGTTTGTGGGTATATCTAGCTTATTGTTATTGTGCTCGAGTGCTCGGTGTTGTGCCTTCGCCTCTGTGTGTGTGTGTGTGTGTGTGTGTGTGTGTGTGTGTGTGTGTGTGTGTGTCAGTGTGTGTGTGTGTGTGTGTGTGTGTGTTCCTGACCCCCGTCCCCCGATTTATGTTCCCCAATATAACGTGAATTTCTGCTTGAGTTTGTGTGCGTTTGTGACCTTCTAGGCCTACTTCTAGAATTGCATGTGTTGGTTCTACACCAAAGTCAAAGTGTAGGGCTAAGGCCAAGGCTAGCCTAGATCTAGAATCTACATTCTAGATAGGCCTAGAGGGCCTACGTCTCATTGAAAACACGCCAAGTTGGTACCGTAGCTCTAGACTAGATGCTCGTCCAATGAAATTAGTTGAGAACAAATTGGGTGCTTTTTCGGTAGTTCCCACCCCACCCCCCTGCCTTAGCCTTATTTGAGCCTGACCTACATCTAGATCTTGATCTAGAATCTAGATCATCTAGATCTATACGTTTGATTCGCGGTGAGCTAAGATATCAAACCTAACAACAGCAAACATTAAATTGTGGTAAAATTCAGGGGGGCATGCCCCCCTGAAACCCCCCTTCCTATTTTTGTTATATATATAGTTCTAGAATCTAGGTCAGCAGGGGTGAAACCCCCCTACCCTACTCTTGGACTTGGGGTCAAAACCCGTGAACTACCGAAAAAGCGCCACAAATTTACCATTGGACACACATTATGTATAATGCTAAAGTTTAGCGGCTAAAGTTAAAGATAGATATCTAGATCTAGATCTAGATCTAGATCTAGATATCTCTAGATGTAGTGTTGTTTTCAGACTTGACACTGCTTCACTCGGTGGCAATGGCAATTGACAAAAACTCAATTTTTGCCAATTGCCACCGCGTCACTAAGTTCGGATTTTAGCATATATTTACCCGACAAGTTCGAGTTGAAAGCAGCCTTGTAGATCTAGAAACTCGAGGTGAGCAAATTCCTCAATCCCCACAAAACAGGCGCACTCCAAGTTTTCCTCCGAGTCGTAGTCGTAGACCAAGCCTGACAGAGTGAAAGAGGCTTCAGCACGACACAGCCAGCCTACCTAGACTCTAAATAAATCTACCTAGGTCAAGGCCTTTGAGCAAAGCGCAACAAGCGTAAAGTAAAGTAATCCAAGTTGTGACGCGTACCAGGCCTAGCAGTCAGCGACCGAAACCATTAGAGATATCTACCGCTGAAGCTATGTGATATCTACCTAGTTGTATGTCTAAATAAAGGGAGAAAAACCGTGCACTAATGCAGGAATCCGGAAGTAGGCCTCGTTTGATATCGGTAGAACGGGGGTATGAAATACAAATTAATTAAATGTATCTGAATATAGATTATCGTCCAGCATTCACGGCCGTTAAAGGGTTGATTAAACATAACCTTTTAATGCTCTTATTATGGTGTCATTGAGCTGTTTCTATTATCCAAGACTGAACCAATTTTTATTGAGAGTGTCTTAGCTATGGCAGTTCTTCGGGGTTGTTGTTTTTTTCCGTGGAACATGTAATTAGACGTCGTTAGATATTCAACCTGTTAAACTTGTTTGATATTTTCACTATTGAACATGAAATCACAAATAATAACGGCTTTTATCACTCCTTTTATTTTATGGTGCGTTCTGTTTTCTTTACACTTATATTTTTAAAAATGATAATAATAGGCCTAATAAATAATATAGCCTATATATACATGCTGCGCATTTCCATTTTCTTTTTTAAAATGCCCAATAATGCGCATTAATATAAAAAAAGACATCACACCTTAAAAATTAATCATGTAAGTAGTAGTAGTAGTAGTAGTAGTAGTAGTAGTAGTAGTAGTAGTAGTAGTAGTAGTAGTAGTAGTAGTAGTAGTAGTAGTAGTAGTAGTAGTAGTAGTAGTAGTAGTAGTAGTAGTAGTAGTAGTAGTAGTAGTAACCTTAATAATAGTCTGAAGAAGAAGAAGAAGAAAAAGAAGAAGAAGAAGAAGAAGAAGAAGAAGAAGAAGAAGAAGAAGAAGAAGAAGAAGAAGAAGAAGAAGAAGAAGAAGAAGAAGAAGAAGAAAAAGAAGAAGAAAAAGAAAGATAATAATGTATGGCTCTCTTCGTCTTTGCGACGATCAGTTTAGCTTAAGATGGCCTCCAGGTTGTCGCAGCTTCTTTCATGGCTAGTTCTATTTATGTTTAAAGCGCAGTGCTTGCATATTATTATGTCAGTGAGGTGGATCGAAGCTCTGTATTTCCACTGTTTTCTTTTCATCGTTGGCGCTTCTCGGCCTGATTATTTCTGGGGCTTCTCTCTAAGTTCTTTCCTTTATCATTTTCCTCCATGTTTTCCTGTCCTCAGCTTTTTCTTCCAAGATGCTGACAACTACTCCAAGCTTAAATAGGCTGTTTTTGCATGAATCTTTGTATCTCAATTTTGGCCTTCCTCTTGGTCTCTTTCTCTGGGCAAGTTCTTCACTGAGAAGTTGCTTCGGAATCCTGTTGCCTTCCATTCTCTTGGCATGGACCAGCCATCTTAGCTTCTTAAATACAAGATAGTTGTCACGCTCTTGAGGTTTGCCCTGGCCAGCACTTCAACATTGGTAATCTTGTCACCCCACGAAATGCCTAAGATCATGCGGCAGCATCTGAGATGGAAAATGTAGAGGCGCTCTTCTTGCCTGCTGACAAGGTCTTTGTTTCAGATCCATAAAGGAGCGTGCGCGCTGAGGACACAAGTTTCGTAAATCTTGATCTTTGTTTTGATGGCTAATCTTTTGTTTTTCCATGCTCGTTTTGTCAGCCTCCCAAAAGTTGTTGCCGCTTTTCTTATCCTGGTGTTGATCTCATCACCAAGTGGTGTAGTAGAACTGATGGTAGACCCCGGGTAACGGAACTTGTCTACTGTCTCAAGTTCCTTGTTCAGCCAAATATGGCTCCGTTCTGCACTTTCCTGTGTAAGGATGACTGTTTTATTAACACTGATGACCAAGCTGAAAACTTGCATGCTGTTGATAGGCGGTCCATCATTGTTTGTAGGGTTGAATCACTGTGAGCAACAAGAGCAGCAGCATCGGCGAAGATGGTCTCGTATTGTTGTTTTGTTGATCTTGGGCTTGGCCCGGAGTCGAGCAAGATTGAAGAGCGACCCATTAGCTCTCCAGTGGAGGAAGACATCCCCTGGTGACTCTTTGAATATATATTGCAGTGCAGTAAGACAGCAAAATAAGTGCCAAAATGGGTTGGTGCTAAGACACAATCTTGCTTTACTCCACTATTGATGTAGAAGTTGATTGATGTTGAACCATCAAACTGAAAGATGGCCTTGCTTGATATCTTCAAAGAACGAAATGGTTAGCTTTAGTAGTTGGGGGACTGCTAGTTTTTAAAAGTCCCATGTACAGTCCTGATCTACTGACCGTATCGAAAGCCTTTGTCAGATCGACGAACGCAGTATGTAATGTCAATTGTTGCTCCCTGCATTTTTCTTGTATCTGAAACCGCACTGGCTCTCTGGTAGGACTCTTTCTGCTAGTTTCTGAAGTCGCTTTAGGATGATCCTAGCAAAAGTTTTCCCAGTGATGCTTAGCTGTGAGATACATGCACCCCTTGTTTTTGATAGAGTGTGGTAATTTTGACGTCCCTCATGTCATGTGGAAGTTCTACTTTCAGCCAACAAGTCGTTAGTAGCTTGTAGAGATATGGGAGGAGGGTCTCTTTGTTCTCTTTCAGCACTTCTTGGGAGTTTACAGCTGCTGTGTTTTCCTGTTCTCTTTTGCCAGTTTGTGTAGTTTTCTCCGCAAACTTATGTTATTCACTGACAAGCCACAATGGCAGTGGAGGGTTTCAGTAAGAAGATTTAAGGCGTCTCCTGTCGCCAAGATGGTCCCTTCGTTGAGCATGTTAAGAAGGCCCTATATTAATTGAATTGAAGGGCCTGTTCCACCAGAATTCTCCTCTACTCTCCGCGACCATCTCCCATTTTGGTTCGGGAATGCTTACCGCTGACCTCCATATCTGGAATCCGATCTGCTACCCACCGCTAGGGGACACGCTGGGTTAGTGTAGGGGCCCATACTAAAAATTTGGTATCTCGGTGTAAACTAATGCGTTCCAATGTTCACACTCGTCTCGCCTGGCTGGTCTCTATATCCTCAGCGAGAAGACATCTTTGGTGCCCGGCCACCCGAGAACACAAACAACACTTCCTTCCCCGCTCAATTCACCCTTTTCAGCGTGCCAACGTTAAACAATTTAAAGCTTCTGGCTGATAAAAACGTCTGGCTAAAGTAAAAAGAAGACATTAAAGTTCATAGACCGGCCATTATAGATTTAGGACACTCGGTATGTAAAAGAAAAAGGCCACTCTAGTAGTAATAAAAAGAATTTTTTTCTTACCAAAAAAAAAAAAGAAGAAAAGAATATTATCTGATATAAAACCAAAGACAATAGATCTACTATTATTACATATAACCGAAATATATTAGGTGCAAATAATGCTCTTCAATTGTTAACTGCATTCTGTTGTTCTACGCTTCGAAATATTATTATTATTATTATTATTATTAT